TGATGATGCTGAAACGTGATGCTGCTAAAGACGATCAAAGCGTTGGCGGCTTATTTTTATTATATATGCAATACACATGTATGCATGTATGTACATATGTATGTGAGATATCAGTATTCATGTGTTGGTCTCTTCATAAATGGTACGCAAAATGATTTATTATTTTTTGTTTTGTTTTGTATGCTGCCAAACACCTGAGTAATGCCAAATGCCTTAAATGGTTCGCTATACCGCACTTATTGCCACGCTTTCTGACAGTTTCAAGAGATTACCGTTAATTTGTTGGTAATTGAAAGGGTCTGCGGACCAATTTACTATTTTTGAATTCACTATTATCATTGGAAGTATTGCTTTTTTATATCGCAAACAAATTCAATAACTTTGACTTTGAGTTTCAACTAAGAGTACAATAAAGCGGGCAATAAAATCGTATAAATATGCATGTCTCAGTTAGCAAAACAGCATTATAGTTCAAGGTCATTTTTCGCTACTTAAGAATTGAATTTGACTTGGTTTTTCATTATAATTTTTTTTCGAAGTACGAATTTATACAAAAGCGTGCGAAAATTTTATTACTAGAGAACTTTATCATATGACTTGGTAAATTTAATACATATTTAAGCGTTGGTAAAGGCATATCAAATAGGTAGTAGTAGCATTAGAGCAAAAAGGAAATTTGGTTGTTTGTTATTATAAACAATTTATGAGATTGAAAACGAAAAGCGTGGAGCGCATGCAATACGCGGACTCTGAAGTAGAAGATGAAAATGCGTCGTCTAAGGCTGCTGTAGAGGACAACCAAACTGAGATTGAATTATCTCTAACGGGAGTCGCCCTCGGACAAATAGTTTTAGGAGAAATGAAGAAAATGTGACTCAACTTAAAATTGTGCACCTCCATAGGGATTGATGCGGGTGCCGTCATGCTGTCAGATCGCGCACCCGTCGAAGAAATCCGAAAATAAGCAGAAAAAGCTGTAGTGAATCCCTGTTTCTCTCACAAACTCAACAGCAGCATTTCCAAATCTGCAAAAGAAGGAGTAATCGATATGGGTTGCAGTACCATACGAGAAGTCGACAAGTTCTTAAGAAAGTCGTGTCCTAAGCGTGCGACTGCATTGGCTGATTCACTTGAATTATGTGAAACAAGATGGGTGCAACGGCATGATGCCGTCATTCAGTTTGCTGGAAAAATGCCGTTGATAGCCAGATGCTTTGACAAAAATAAGTGAATGGAAAAACAAGGAAACGGCGGGAAAAGCGACGGTCCTTATTACAGCTGTGTGCAAATTCGACTTCATTGTCGGGCTCTTCTCGCAGTATGAAGTATGTATTGTCAGTCATTCACTCAGCGTCATACTCCAAAAAGAGGATATCGATTTGGCTAAAGCATCGACGATGATTAATACGCTGCTGCATCGCTCCAAAATCGGAGGAATACGGCAGATGAAAACTTCAAGAATATGTATTCAGATGCAAAAAAAAAAACCTACATACCAAATTTCGTTGAGATATCTCAATTTTTGCTCGAGTTATCGTGTACACGGACAGACGGACAGAAGGACGGACAGACAGACATGGCTTAATCGATTTCTT